AAAAAAAAAAAAAAAAAACAAAAAAAAAACGGACAAAAAAAACGACCGTCTAAAAAATAGTGTCCCCAACACCCGCATCCCCTCCTCCGTCATTGCCGCTATCGTCACCCCCTCCCCCTTCGTCGGTGCTCGTCGACGGCGAGTAAAGATGACCATTCGTGGTAGGAGGGCATGTATGAGGATCAACGCGCGAGTACGTCTCGACTATGGCCGCCCACCCCAACGGACTGCGCGTCGGATCTCCCCCCCCAACCGCCATTTCGCAGGGGGCGGGCTTGCGGAAGGTGCCCCCATCCGCCGCGATCATGTCCGTAGCTCTCCGCCGTCGTTTGCCCCCCCTCGCCAACTGCCCCCACCTCGCCAACTGGCGGTGTTGAAGAGGATGATGAAGGTGGTGGAGGAAGAGGAGCAGAGATGGCGAGTAGAATCACAATTCCCCCCCCCTCACCAACTGCTGCTGTTGAAGACATTGACGGCAAAGTCGCCTTCGTTCATGCGGCCGCCTCGCCTCTTTCGTCCGCCACTCTCTCTCTCTGTGTGTATATATATATATATATATATATATATATAGGGTTGCCAGGCCGAACGTACGGAGGCCCCTAAGTTGACCCCCGAACGTTCGGGCGTTCAGGTCCCCGTACGGGGCCCGAACTTGAAGGGACCCCAAAAAAAAATATTTTGGCACCCTAATATTATTATTTTTTTTCTGAATTTGTTTTTGTGAGTTCTTTGTGATGTAAGGTATCCCACACCTAATTTTAAAGTCATTTTGTTCATCCAAAGACAAATGAAAAATCCTCAAAGGTGGTGGTGTCAAAACTTGCTTGCCCACTCACAAATTTGTTTTTTTCTCTCTTTTCACTTCTTGTTTTTTTCTTTATTTCGGGGCATAAAACAATTTATTGTTTTTTTCGAACTTTATTCGTAGATTCTCTATTATGTAAGATACACATATATAAATTTTCATGGCATTTGTCACAACCAAAAAAAAATGAAAAATCGCCAAAGATGGCGGTGTCAAAAACGTGCCCGCCCACTCAATAATTTAATTCTCGTTTTTTTTTTTTTAATTTTCATTATTATTATTTATTTTTAGTATTTGATTTTTTTTTCAAATTTGGCAAAGAATTTGGATATAACGTTGGGGCAAATGTTGTTTAGTTTATTCTTCTGCATAACATATATATATTTTTCAGATGTTTTGAAATTCGTTTTTTTTTTTTTTTTTTTTTTTTT